GCCCAAATGAAAAAATAAATAAAAACTCCAGAAAAAGAACTTAGTGACAAAGAGATAGAAAACCTATTAGATGCAAAGTTCAAAACACTGGTAATCAGGAAGTTCATAGAAATGGTTGAGTATCATCGCAAAATAGAGGAAAAAGTGAAGGCTATGCAAAGTGAAATAAAGAAAAATGTACAGGGAACCAACAGTGAAGGGACGCAAACTGGGACTCAAAGCAATGATATGGAACAGAAAAAAGAAATAAACAATCAACCAGAACAGAATGAAAAAACAAGAATTCAAAAATATGAGGAGAGGCTTAGGAACCTCCAGGACAACTTTAAATGTTTCAACATCTGAATCATCGGGATGCCAGAAGGAGAAGAGTAAGAGCAAGAAATTAAAAACTTATTTGAAAAAATAATGAAGAAAAAATTCCCCAATCTGGCAAAGGAAATAGACTTCCAGGAAGTCCAGGAAGCTCAGAGAGCCCCTAAAAAGTTGGACCCAAGGAAGCACACACAAAGGCACACCATAATTATATTACCCAAGATTAAAGATAAGGAGAGAATCTTAAAAGCAGCAAGACAAAAGAAGAAAGTTATCTACAAAGAAATTTCCATAAGACTGTCAGCTGATTTCTCAAAAGAAACCTTGCAGGCGAGAAGGGGCTGGAAAGGAGTATTCAAAGTAATGAAAGGCAAGGACCTATATCCAAGAGTACTCTATCCAGCAAAGCTATCATTTAGAATGGAAGGGCAGATGAAGTGTATCACAATAAGGTCAAATTTAAGGAGTTCATCATCACCAAGCCCTTATTAAATGAAATGTTAAAGGGATTTATCTAAGAAAAGGAAAATCAAACCTATGAATAGTGAAATGACAATGAACTCACAACTATCAACAACTGAACCTAAAAAACAGAACCAAAAATAAAAACAAACTAAGCGAACAACTAAAACAGGAACAGAATCACAGAAATGGAGGTCATATGGAGGGTTACCAGTAGAGAGAAGGAAGGAGGAGAATGGTGGGGAAGGTACAGGAAATGAGAAGCATAAATGGTAATCACAAAATAGACAAAGGGAGGGTAAGAATAATATAGAAAATGGAGGAGACAAAAAACTTGTATTTATGACCCATGGACATGAACTAAAAGGGGGAGCGCTGGTAAGAAAGGGGTACAGGATGAGGGGGAATAAAGGGGAGAAAAAGTAGGACAACTGTAATAGCATAATCAATTAAACGTACTTAAAAATCAAAATCAAAATCAAAAGAGAAGTAAAAATGAGATTCAAACAGGCAGTGTGAATTCAAAGCCCACCTTTGAACTGCTATTCTTTTGTGATATTTCATAACCTCTTTGAGCAAAGTTTGGCCTCAAAGGGTGAGCAAGGAAAAATATACAGTATTTATTTAACAACTGTTTAAATTGGATTCGCAGAAACCAGGGAGAGTGAGCAAGACAGAACTTGCAAAAACCTTAAGACACTCATATTCTGAAGGAAAATGCTGTGGGATTGGAAGAAAGGATGCCAGCCCTATCTAGAAGCAGAATTTTTCAAGTGGGAAACAATGTAGAGCAGAGGCAAGGAGTAGGAAGTAGTGTGAATGAACAGCATATAGTGATGGAACCTGTGTCATAATCACAAAAGTGAATGAACTAAAAGGAATTGATTCAGCAATCTGCTGCTAATGATCAAATGCCAACATCCATATAACTGCCCCCCCCCTAAAATCCCCTTTTATGACTCAGGCTCAAGGAAGAGACAATTCTTTCTTCATCTCCTTTACAAATACAGGTTTTCTTGCTCATTTTCTCTTTCAAAAATATGATTAAGATAAAATTTCAATAACATCTCGAATCAAACAGATATAGGATTGAAACCCTTTCTCAGTAAACAGGGGAGAAGGCCTTGAGTAAGCTCCAAATTGTCTCTGAACTTTAAAATTTTGCATATTTTAAATAAAGTTATTAAAATTTACTTAAATGATAATATTATTAGAATTAAATGAGACAAGCAATAAATGGTGCCTGGCACTTAGTAGGTTTACCTCCATCCATTAATATTAAGTTAAATTTAACAATATAATATTAAGTTAAATATAAGTTAATTTCACTTGTGTTGATACGGCATGGAGCTGTGCACAGTGTAATCTGACCTAGTTCTAGATTTAACCTTCTTGGGATGATCGTGTTAGTAGCTAAAAAGTGTACAGATGAGTAAGAAAGAAGGGAAAGATTATTGAACATTTGGCAGGAAGAGCTTAGACTTAAATATAAATGTGGTAGTTCTTAAAGTAATAATAAAAATTATCCATTCTAGTAGGAAGTAGTTCAGATTTGATTCCAAGTTGGTTTGGCTCCAAACTACTTCGAGAACTTTCTGTGTGATCTTGAACAGGTAAACTCCATTTAATGAACTTTTGTTTCCTGATCTAGAAACCATGAAATATAATACTTAGATTGTCCAATTTTACTCAGTATGGGACAATACATGGTTTCTAGTGAGGTCTCTGGAGACTTTTCAATGACATTGAAAGCTGTGAAAGTACAAATATTGTGTATCAATCTCATTATATAACGTGGAGCTGGTCATTAGATAAAATCTGTTTTAAATAATCTTAAGTAAACTAGTTCTCTCCCTTCCTTCTGATATCAAATGAGGTAGAACTTCTTTGATTATGAGGTGCGTGTGTGTGTGTGAGAGAGAGAATATGGGCATTTGTTTTGCGGGAAATACTAAATTAACCTATTCACATATTTATAATTCTCTAGTTACGCTTAAACATTTTAAATAGGCTGCTTGAGACCCAAGCCCTGGCATCTCTTGCGATTGGCTCTCAAGTACTGTCTACTAAAGCAAAAGAAAAACATTCTATGCTTTGAATGTGATAGGAACTTCACAAGTCAGTAGACATTCCTTTTAAAAGCAATAAAATGAAGTTGTCAGCCATTGCAAATGGACCAGGATGGAGGTCACATGACTAAACCACCCCTGCAGCAGGCGGCCTCTGATGTATTTTACTACAGTTTCAACCTATTAATCAGAGGAGCTGGAAGAGCAATAATTTAAATGCTGCAATAATCAATTCCATACACATTAATAGAAGCTACAGTCAAACTTTGTCACACCACTGACTGCACTGGAATCTTGACAGGAGCCCTAAGGCCATGCCTAATTTGCATTAAATTTACATAAAATCATAAATCAAGGGTACATGAACACAACCCTAATATTTGTTAGTGCTTAGATCTTGTTAGGTGGATTGAAACTGCTGGTGGTTTGAATTCGCTTACAATAAAATTGTGCAGCTGATCAGTTTTGTTCTCATTCTGCAATTATGGGGAAAGGGACCCAAGAGAGCTATAGTTTGGGGGCATGTGTGTGTGCCATTTAGCATTTTCATCTTATAAAATCATGACTCAGATGTGCCCGTGGAAACCCAAGTCTAGAAACACATTGTCCCCAATGACTTTGCAGATCCTTGTCACTGGATTTGCTCACAAATAACTTGCCATTAGATGGAGCCACAAACTACATAGAAAGCTGGTCAGTCAGCTGAGAGGACATCAAGGCCTCTGGTAATTTTTATTTTTCCAAACAACATTTACTATCATAAAAACAGATAATTAGTGATATTCTTTAGGCTCAGTGTAACAAGAGTCCAGACCTTGGGGTGTTCTAGAATATAGGATAATAGGCCTGGCTGGGGGAAGGGACACATGGAACAGGGCCACCGAGAGTTATTTTTCAGGCCAGCTTCATATGTGATATGCAAAAATGGTTATTTTGTATATCAATAACAACAAACTAGTCTTCCAGCCTAAATGGAGCCAGAAGGTATGCATAGCTTTGATCCATGATGTAACTGGGAGACAGCTCCTCTTGGTTACAGTGCCTGTGTGAGAGAGCCTGGACATGGTTTGCTCCATGCCCTGGGGCCATGCCTGCCCAGACTTATTATGGCAGCCCAGAAAGGCTGAAGACTGCGGAAGTGCTGGCAGGTGTAGCCCATTATGAGAAGAGCTGGAAGTGGGGTTATGGAGGAGGTTCCAGGCTGGGATTTAAGACTAAAGTCGGTCTGCCACCAGAGAAGGGGAGGACAATATGAGACCATGCAAAAAGGAAAGGGGTGAAAGGACGCTCAATGGTGAGCCATGAGAAGGTGACACATGGTTTTGGATTAAGAAGTGGAGATGGCGGTGGCAACACAGATGATGGTGCTGGGGACTGTGGGAGGCCTGCCCAATTGAGCATGGATTACTGGGAGGAACTGGGAGTTTAGCTGAGCTGCAGACTTCTATTTCTTTTCCTGAGATACAGTACCACTGACTGGCCTAACTGGGCAAAGCAGGGAGGCAGTACTGTGTGTGTGTTGGTGGGTGTTTTAAAGGAACTTTGGGATTTTTAATGGATACATTCTGCCATTACCCTAAACCTGTATAACATTTAAATAAATAGTTCCTTTCATTTTCACCAAATTCTAGCATTGAGAGCTATAATTCCTAACACCAGGCAGTAGGCAATGAACTCACAGTGACAGAAAGACCCTGGGGGAGGGGGCTTGTTTGGATAACAGTACATGGGTGCCCCCACGGGTCCATTCTGCAACATCAGGGCAGGTTAAAAATCAAACCTTCAGCAAAGTATCCAGTATTCGGCAGTGTGATAAAGTGGACTTGACATGGTTTTAAGCATTTTGTGTGTTCTTGTGCTCCTGTTTCAACTTACTCCAACAGCTATGGTTTCACACTCAGGGCTAGGAGAAGACATTCTCACCACGGGTACTGACTCGCAGTGGCAAAACTCAAGTCTCTACATTCCCCTTAGTCCTCTCAAAACAAATTTAGTCTGTTCTTTTGGAGAGAAAACAGATACTTAAGTGCCATGATGTATTTCAAAGTCTTTCTTTTTATTTCCAGAAAGGATTATGCAAGCATTTTATACATCAAGATTACTCAGTACCTTCTACCTCTCCTTCCCCACCCACCTATCCCATCTTTTTCTTACCTTGCACGATCAAGTAAACTTGGGAGGTCTTGGGCTCATGCTGTGTCTGAACGGAGCAAGTATATGAACCCTCATCATAGACATCCACCTTCTGGATTCGAAGGCTGTATTCCAGAGAATGGCGTTTCTCCAGCTCAACCCGGGGGTCCAGAGACCACTTGTCATCCCCAGCAAAAATGATTCCAGAACGGTTCAACCAGGCCACCTTTGAGTTCTTATCTTCTACAACGCACCTGTCAGAGAAGAATAACAACATTAGAATGTTAGCCATACCTGCATCTGTATTCATTCTCCATATGATTATTAGACTCAACAAGACCAGCCAAAAAATAATTTTATGTAGGATGAGCCAGGACATGTTATTTTTTAGGGTCTTATGTATTACCACTATTTCTCCTTTAGGACCTAATTACCATTAAATGGATAGATGCCACTATATTAAACTCAATTCAGCAATATACAATGTGAGTATGAGTAATGCAGGCAAATAAAGTTAAATGGGTATTGATTTCCCACTAGGTTATCTTCTTGTCTAGGAAAAGGTCATTCACACAGAACTCCATCTGTTTAAGTACTTTGAGAATTAGATGATTGATAATGTGGCACATTTACTCAATTTTGAATTATACTTACTCTTTCATAAATATTTCCTAAAGTCTTGTGTGATGGAGTAGTCAAGTACTGCCCCACCACTGTAGGCATCAGACTAGATTTCAGAGTTTGCATCCGATCTGTACGAGTTGGATTGGAATGCCCACTCCTAGGAGGAGATGTGTGTGAGCAGGTCCAAGTAAGTGGATAGTTATCGTGTCAAGATAATCAAAGCTAACATCATCTTGCCTGAGTGTGGTTCCAGCTGCTGAGGGCAGCAAGTTCTCTGCTGGCAAGACAGCTTGCCACCAGCATTTTGGATCACATTAGAATGCATTCAATCTTTTATGGGAGATGAAGACACCCATTGTGTAGTTTATATTCCCAGGAAGATGAAGGAAACTAGTTATTGTAGAGACCTAAAAGAGTCTCTCCCTAAAACTTAAAAGAAAGGGGCAAAGAGCACAGATTAGTAAAAGGGTCAATGCTTCATGGTGAATTGTTTTCTTCAATTCTATTAAGAATCTGGAAATTTAAAAATTAAAGAAAAAATTCTCTCTATCACTTTGGCAAGATTTATGTCTGCCCCACAGAAACATTGTCCCAGCCCCTGTGCACAGCTGCAGAGCCGGCTGCTCAGCACTCTGGGGCACAAGAGATGGACAGAAGGAGCCTAGGATATGACAGCAAAACAATTAAAACACCATGTTTCCCTGTATTTTCTGAGCCAACTCAAACCTTGGTTTCCTCTCAGGTCAAAACAGCCAGGCATAGAGATTCCACACCCGTGCACAGACAGGAAATCAATGTCCTATCCACAGGCTCTTCACCATAGGGATACAGAGGCCAATTTGTATCTTTCATAAGAGAGAGGAAAGCTGAGTCATTAAAAAATCCCTATGGTACAAAAGACCTACTTACCCCATTAATTTTTGTTGAATTATGTATTTTATTTAGCATGTTTATTTTACTTAATTAGTTGGGTACCGTGGTATGCAGGCCTTTCTTTTCTTCTCAGCTTATTTATTTTCCTAAACCCAGGCAAATTAAGGTATCATTTAATATCTCCATTGCTCAGTATGAGTTTCTCTGCCATGCAGATGTTAGTGGGATTCACTACCTGCATTTGATCATTTAAAACTTCTCCATGAGGGAATGCAAAGCTAACTTCATGGACACTTGCTGTTTCTTTCCAGACTCGATATTACTTGTCCTGTTCTATTCCTTTAAGGCATCATTTCTCTGTCCTTGGTGATGTGCGTGGCACTTCTCTAATTACAACCATGGATGAATTAATTCATAGGCTGTTTTCTGCCTTCTCAATCATAAATGAAGTTGTTCATGTAGATTTACTGTGTTTTTCCTTTTTCTACTGAAAAGAATGGAAATGGACCTCTATAAATGCATTTTAAATCTCCTATCCCATTTCTCCTTGCACTTGTGTCATCTCTCCATAGCTCAACATGGCAGCAGGCAAATATCACAGACAAGTGCTTTGAATGATGTTTGACCTGGCATATGGTTCTAATGTGTTCATGTTGGGGAAAATGCCATGTAGTAGGTTATACACAAAAATGGTCCATCAATCAAATGAAGACCAAAATGTTGCCTAATTATTTAAGCTATTTGATTTGGTTATTAAGACCAAAGCTAATGTGGTGTAAAACAGTAAATGCCTGGTAAATACCTATCATGTGAACTAACGGAGTTACAGTGTAGACACAAGAGATGGTTAGCTATAGGGTGAGGCAAACATAGGTTTACAATCGTAAGTAACAGTTGCAAGTATGCAAAAAAAGTTTATTGTCCTATTATTTACCAATTATTGTATTATGTTCCATATGAACAACTGTAAACCTACTTTTGCCCACACTGTATATTTCACCCCACCCCAACCCCAAGCTCTATAGCATCCACAAGTGAATTGGGCAAATTTTCTAAGCAGCACAAGGGAAGTTTCTAAGTTGGGTCTGAGGGTCCTTTTGCTATTTTAGCTAATTTTTTCCATGAAAAATTAACATTACAACACAGACCATTATACCAAATTGTTCTCCAAGTTTCTTTTTTTAAAATATATTTTATTAATTATGCCATTACAGTTGTTCTATTCCCCCCTTCATTCCCCTCCACCCTGCACACCCCCTCCCCCAACATCCCCCCCGCTTTAGTTTATGACCACATGTCTCAAGTTCTTTAGATTCTGTATTTCCCATACTATTCTTGCCCTCCCCCCTATCTATTTTTCTACCTACCATCTATGCTACTTATTTTCTGTACCTTCTCCCCCCTCTCCTTCTCCCACTCCCTTGTTGCTAACCCTCCACGTGATCTTCATTTCTATGGTTCTGGTCCTGATATAGCTGTCCTCTTGGTTTGCTTTTGTTTTAGGTGTGATTCTTAATAACTGTGAGTTTGCTGTCCTTCCACTGTTCATCTTTTTTATCTTCTTTTTCTTTAGGTAAGTCCCTTTAACATTTCATGTAATAAGGGCTTGGTGATGATGAACTCATTGAATTTGATCTTATCTGATAAGCACTTTATCTGCCCTTCCCTTCTAAATGAAAGCTTTGCTGGATAGATCAATCTTGGATGTAGGTCTTTGGATTTCATATCTTGGAATATTTCTTTCCAGCCCCTTCTTGCCTGTAAGGTCTCTTTTGAGAAATCAGCTGACAGTCTGATGGGAACTCCTTCGTAGGTGACTGTCCCCTTATCTCTTGCTGCTTCTAGGATTCTCTCCTTCATTTTAATCTTGGCTAATATAATGATGATGTGCCTTGGTGTGTTCCTTCTTGGGTCCAACTTCTTTGGGACTCTCTGAGCTTCCTGGATTTCCTGGAAGTCTATTTCCTTTGCCAGATTGGGGAAATTCTCCTTTATTATTCGTTCAAATGAGTTTTCCACTCATGGCTGTTCCTCTTCCCCTTCTGGTATCCCTATAAATCAGATGTTGGTGCATTTAAAGATGTTTTGGAGGTTCCTAAGGCTCTCCTCATTTTTTTGAATTCTTGTTTCTTCATCCTTTTCTGTTTGGTTATTTTTTTCCTCCTTCTGGTCCACTCCTTTGATTTGAGTCCCAGTTTCCTTTCCATTACTATTGGTTTCCTGTGTATTTCCCTTCATTTCAATTAGTTTAGCTTCCCTATGTTCCTCTAATTTGTGACTAAAATCAACCAGTTCTGTGAGCGTCCTGATCACCAGTGTTTTGAACTGTGCATCTGAAAATTTGGCTATTTCTTCATCACTTAGATTTATGGGCTCTGGGGCTCTGAGTTGTTCTTGAGCCATATTTTGATCTGTTTGTGCCTGTTATGTATGAGGAGCGGAACCCTAGTTGTTCACCAGGGTAGGGCTACCCAGGTCGCTGGTTTGTAATGCTGTATGTGGGGGTAGGGTCAGAGAGGGACAATGGCAGTTCTCTCTGCCACTTTCCACCGCTGGGGCCTGCGTGGTCCATCTCACCACCGCTAGCTCCTTCACCAGTTTATCTGCTCTCGAATGTGTGACCACAGTCCGCCCTCAGTGGGTCCGCCCGCTTCTTCACACCTGGGATCCACCAACGGCTGCTGGCACACCTAGGTCAAGCGCCTGGGTCGGGTGGATCTTTCCTGCCTGACCCTGCTCTGCTGCTGGCTCTACCCCTCTTACAGGTTTGGCTGAAGGGTTCATTTTTGTTAGACTTCCATGTAGTTCAATTTTCTGTGGTTTGGCTGTGTTTTTGTTGCTAAAACTTTGTTGTTTTTAAACTTGGTTGTGTGAGAAGGTGAGGTGCTTCCACCTACGCCTCCATCTTGGTGGAAGTTCCTCAAATTGTTCTCTAAGTTTCAAGGTTAAAGTCATACTCTGAGTTCTAGGAAGACCCCTGTGATTCAAATGTACTATCTCTTTAGTCTGAAAGCATTTGTATTCCACTTTCCCACGCTTTCTGTCTCCTGGGGCATTGTTGCTTTGACACTGTATGACAGGATAGGCATCTCCTCTCACAGTGACTCAAATTATTGCTGTTAAATGAAAAAAACAGGCAGAGGTAGAGAAAGAACTAAATTTAAGTGGAGATTAATAAGGCATTGTTTTGAACTTATTTTCTTATTTCTCCTGAGTTGCTTAGTAAGTAAATAATAGGTAATGACATTGTCTATCAGGGCTACCTTTAGAAAAGGGCTCTGTAGTTTAGTTTGCCTTTATTGTAAAGGTCAAGGCCTCTTATAGTGAAGATCTTAAAATTAAGACCTTAATAAGATTCTCTGCCATGAATCTTATTCTTTATTCAGATTGCAACCTCATTCTTCATTGTTCTTGTTTCCCTTTTAACTAAAGTACATTTTGCAACCTTTTCCTTCGGCAAACTCCTACATAAAATCTGTCTCACATGTGCTCTACCTTGTGAAGTACTGTCCAGTTTCTCTGCTTGTGCTAGCATCTTAATTCTTTGTTTTTCTTCTTCTAATCATTATTGAAGAGTAAAGTACAGCTATATTACTGTCTCACAAAGAGCCTGACGCATAAAAACACTCAATAATTGTTTAATGGGTAAATGAACATACCAAGATCTTTCTCCTCTGATTTCACATTCTTAGAGATGTCCTTCTTCTAAAGCAATACTGAAGATGGAAGAATTTTACTATTCCTAGTGGTTTCATAT